TGTTTAATGGGAAAAAACAGAGAAAAAGTGAAAAGTGCCGGATTGATATGTATGTAGTCAAGTACAATTAATGGCTTGTTCATAACACAGACCAGCAATATGTTGTCTCAGTGCTAATTTAATCATGTTATGTACACAATGGTGAAATAAATATTATCAATAAAGGACGAGGATGTTGGGTGAGAAGCAAACCAGAATTGTGTTATACTCCATAGAAACTTACAATCATGTTGTTATATACGGAGTATTTCATAATTTCGTACTGTCTTGCACATGCAAAAACATACTGTACTTCGTATACATAAACAAGCAACACCCGACAATGCTCAACAATCTATGACTCTACCTCGATACTTCTAAACTATAAATGACAATTACAGCAATTAGTAAGCAACTAAACACATAATAGTTTCTTTTAGTGTCCCCACCTGAAGTACACAGTAGTTGCTCAGAGAATACAAAAATTCTTCACTAGCATTTTCAGTGATCATCTTTGACATTGCATCTGGATTCGGGTTGAGTATCTGTATTGAGAAAATAAGGGAAACTTAATTTCTATTAGGACCAAACCATAATGGGATGCTATCTACAGGGAGCATCAAATAAAACCATCAATACCTGCGGTATGCATCCGACAATTCTTTCCAGCTCTATGTGATTATCTCTGCAGTAACCTAGAAGATCAGATTCATGAAATTCTACCCTATCCAATAAGGTTTTCCTTTCCGCATCATAGATGGGTTCACCATTGTCATCCAAAGCATTTAAGTACAGATTTATCCAGGAGATTTTTATTGCTCTGGGATTTATGTCCAACCCATAGACCTGTGATTGTATAAGGAGTTCAGCTATACGAGCACAACAACATGCTCAGGATTGTTTATCACCAACATTTTCAAAACAGAGGAACAAACAGAGCACGCACCTTCAAAGGTGACCATTTATCTGCAACCGCAATGGATATCCATCCATTTCCACATCCAAGCTCCGCAACTGTTTTGTCCTCAAAGATTGAATCAGGGTGCCTGTTCAGCCCTTCGTAAAAGGTAAAGGACCAGTCCTCGGGAATAAATATACTAGGTATCAACAGCATTGTCAATTTCTTCCTCTTCTGTAAGCCTAAACGAAGCAATCAAACAACATCAGCCTCCTATCAGCACAATAAAATCAAGAAGGCAACCAGTAACCAACAAAATATCTTCACTACACTCAACCGCATACACTGATACACTGAAAAAAATGATTAAAAAAATTAAGAAGATCCAGCGAGAGAGAGAGATAAGGACAAGGGAACACGACCTTCGTACTGCTCGAGGATTATGTCTTGAATCTGGAAATGGTACGATTTGAGGCATTGCTCGGAGTCCTCCTTGGAACAAAACCGATTTTGGAGAAGAGCGAGGAAGATCCGAGCCTCCTTTCTGGTACTGGGATCCTCGAGCCGCTCCAGCAGCGATCGCAGTGCACCGTACGCGGCGTCGCCGGAATGTTCGCACTGCTTCAGGAACTCTTCCGCCGATCCGCACACTCCCTTCTCCGCCATTTCCGGTAGTCTAGACGGGGTTGAAGCTTGGAGGGGATAGGGGAGGGCTGAGGCAGATCGTTTGAGTTTTATAACTTTCCCTCACAAGTCGCCGTCTTGGACTTTTTTGTATTTTCTCTCCGGTCCCAAAATGGAATATTATGGTTATGCCATATGAGAATAAAAGAATATGCAAATTATATTTTCTTTGTCCAAAATTTAAAAAGGGGGGAAAAAAATAAAAGTAGTAGTAATACATTAATAAAAAAATTAAAATAGGAGTTTCATATTTTTCTTATTCTCAATGGGTTAAAATACATATACAATGTCAATCATGTCAATATATAATTTCAAAAAATATAATAAAATATTTATATATATTGTTATATTATCACAGTACAAACTTTTATTTTGGAATAAACACATAAATCTCCTATTTTAATAATTTTTCCGTGCTCTACTCATATTTAGAATGATTTCTTAATTGAAAATTATGATTAGGGCTTATAACTTGTGTTCTCTTTGTTGGAACTTATAAAATTCGATCTCATCTGGACAAATCTCATATGATTTGAATAAATATAATCTAATACTCCTTCCGTCTCACTCTCTTTGTCCACTTACCTTTTGGCACACCATCCAATGCACTTCTTTAATCCATTTTATCTTGTAATTTGTATATTAAAAAATTATAGAAATTATATATTAATAATCTATATGTTAAGACAAATCAAACAAAATCACACGTGACTATATTTAGGCTTACACATTGAGAGAATTTGATGAGTCAAAGTGCTTAGATGAACAGTTCCAAAAATCAAAAGTTGACAAAGACAGTGGAACGGAGGTAGTATATATGATTTATTATTGGGAATTGATATTTGCGCTCCAAGACTTTATAATGCGCTCCACCTTTCTAATTCTTTTAAGGAAATGACAAGATTAGCCTTATACGTCCATATACTATGGTTCTACTTCTACCCCTTTGTGCCAATCTTTCCCACTCTCATTTTTATTTTTTAATGACAAACTATTTTCAAAATAAAAATTGTTTAAGAACATAATACTCCATCCATCTCTATTTAATGATCATAGTTTGACTTAACACAAAATTTAAAAAAGTAAAATTGTATCATTAAAAGTGATGTAGAGTAAAGAAAAAAGGACTTTCAAAAAAGAGAAAGATTAATTTGGGATAACCAAAAAAACAAGAAAGATTAATTTAGAACGGAGGAAGTACTATATTACATAAAAGCCAAACATAATATAAAAAATCCATAAAAACCAACAAATTAAGGTGAAATTCATACAAAAACGTAACAAATTGTATACGGATTCTTAACAACGAACTCTATTACGGAGTACGAGTTTTCATTCATAGGATATCATTCTTAGAGAGTGTTTTGGAGTGATTAGCTTATAGATAAAGTGATTTCTACAAAAGCTGAAAGCAAAAAAGCACCTCATACCTGCTTCTCCAAAACGGTGTTCCATGTACAAAATCATTTTTACTCAAAGCAGAAGCTGACATACTAAACAGAGTAAAATCATTTTCACTCAAAGCAAAAGCTAAATTGTTAAAAGCAGTATACTGCCAAACACCCTCTTATATGATCACTATACGGTTCCTCGTTTTAGGATTTGTTTTATGCACTCCAAGTGTATTTAGTTCAAGAAAGTTGATGTATTATGTTTTCTCTGTTATTTCTTTTCCGCAATCCCTGATCAATTTTAAATGTCGTTTGGCTTTGATTTAAACTTATTTGACTTCTTATTCAAAAAACATTAGTGTAAATGTAAACAAATTATTTTAAAAAAAGAAATTGATTTGTAAAGTTGAAACTAAAATTCAATACTCCATCGGCCTTAAAAAATTATCCTCTTTCTAAAAAGTATAAAATATTGTTTCTGTTAAATTAATTTTATTTACAAAGGGGTAAGGAAATAAAAAATAAAAATTATATATTTAAAAACTATAAAAAAAAGTTCTAAAAAACATGTAGTGACAAGAGTATTTTATTTTATAAAATGGATCATGAAAAAACATATGCAATAAAAGTTATGAAAAGTCACAAATACTTCGTAGTAACTAGGCCAGCGTTTGAGGAGAGAAAACAAGTTAATGTCATTTCAAAGAAATTTAATTATGCAATATTACTTTTTTAAAAAATATGAATTCTACCGTAATTAAATTTTTGGGGTTTATGAAATTTTTTTATTTGTTGGGTTTTATGCAATATTATTTTCCCTTTGCACTTATTTTTATTTTGAAAGAAATTTGACATTTAGGAAATACTCTATAATTTTTTTTGGCGAAGAGAGAGAGATTGGCTTATGTGGGTAGAACCATAAGATGAGGTAAAAGGGTAGTGTTGTCATTTGCTTTAAGGGTTTGGAAAAGTGGAGCGCCACTATAAACTCTTGGAGTGCCGATATCAATTCCCTTTAGTATTATCATTTTACAAATAATAATAATAATAATACTCCCTCCGTCCCATAAAGTGTTATCCATTTTGACTAAAGTAGAAATTAAGGAAGAGATAATTTTGTGTTGACTTTTCAAAAATATCCTTAATGTGATGGGTAAAAGTAGGATGTGATGTGTAGATTATTAGGAAAAAGGTATGATGTGATAGGTAGAGTTTGAAAAAGTAAGGGGTAAAAGTGGTTTTTTAATAGAAATGGGTAGGAGATTGTGGGACACAATTTTTTTGAAAGGTGTAAATCTTTTTGGAACGGAGGGAGTAATTAGTAATCATAAATTATTAACCTTTAATATTAATTATTATTATTATTATTCTATTCACTATTTTAATAATGATTATTACTATTATTATTGTTGTTGTTGTTACTAGTAAGTATTATTATTATTATTATATTCTAATTATTATTATTTTCTTTATTATTATATAAATTATTATTATTATTTATTTGGATATGAATGAATCTCATTTGATAGAATGGTTTTATATAAATAAATTTGATTTGAACAGATTTTAATGATAATTAATAAGTAATACTCCATGATCTGAATAATTAATAAGTAAGAATAAGTTAAGAGAAGGGAGCATTAGAGTTTGTTGTCTTCACATGATCTGATTTGATTCTAGTAAAATCAACTAAAAAATAATTAGAATAAGTAAATAAAATAGAAAAGATGTAGTACGTTACTTTGTGTCGCTTATATTCCGAATTTTAATCATTTAGAGTATGCTCTTTAGGGTTTGAAAAAATAATTATATGTTGGAAGAAACTAAAAAACCTGAAGAAAGTATATATAGAAACTGAAAGAAATTATAAGAAACTTAGATAAAACTAGAAAAAAATTTGAAAAAATAAAAAAAACTCGAAGAAACTTCAAGAAGTTATTTAAACGTATTTTGATATCATTTTAATTATAATTGTAATTGTTGTTGTTATTAACATCATCATTATTATTATTATAACTCTCATCATATATAATATGTAAAGAATAGTTAAGTCAAAGATACTGTTATTAAGAGAAAGAGTAACCATTCCACACACATAAGAACTTATCTGCTATTCACTTTACAAAATCTTTCTCGATCACTAGAGCCTGATGACAATTTCTCATTTCAGGACCATTGCACAACATTTGACAACAACAGCTAGAAATTAAACATAGTGTCAGCAATGCCTGCACCTCTTCGCTCCATCCGCTCCGGCATCGTGTACTACGTGTTGGTCGTCGTGCTCAGCACACCCGCGGGCTCGTTCCTTCTTCGACGCGAGCTCTTTTGCTGCAGGCAGCGTGTTTTGTTGTTGTTGGCTTCCTATTGAGCCAACTGTTGGTCGTTGATGATGATGACGACAGTCCTCTTCTCTGACATTATCGTCAAGTTGTATCAAGTCCCCCAGGTCGAGGAAAATGTCCCCAAATTCTTCCAATTCAAAACAGACAGAAGAGGTGGTCGTCGTCGTCGTCGTCACCATTGATCCTTGGCAATAACGTCGTTGTTGTCGGTCCGTATCTCCTCCCAATGTAAAAGTAGTAGTAGAAGGAGGAGGAGGAGGAGGAGAAGAAGAACCAACTTCATCGTGATCAGACACCTTATCAAAGCAACCTCTTATTGCAGGATCTGTACGGTTGGAAAGAACAATTTCACCAAAACCAATACCATCTCCCTCTTGCTGTTGGTTATTATTAGACAATAACGTGGCTGCTGATTCACCAATGGCGCCTCTCGTCAACTTCTTCCTCCTCGCCCTCCGGGTAATCTTGCACAATGCGTATTTATTATCCGAGCCGTGCAAGGTGAATCCGTGCATGCCCCACTCGTATTCCACGTCTCCGGGATGGATTGTGTTCGGTTTGTAGTTGAAGTACTTGTCGTACCCCAGAACCCAGTCTGCGTTATTGTTACTACTACTACTACTACTACTCACCTTGGTTTCCCTAGTGCACGACATGTGCCACGTCCCGTGCTCCCCGACCCTTCTCCCCATCTTTGTAGTTCGGTGTAGAAGTAGCAGTGCAGCTCGGCCCCACTGCCCGTGTCGTCGTGAGCCGCTCCAGGACTCCAGATGGCAGAAGGGTGATCCGCGTAAACATTGGCGAGGATGATTCTCGGGTAGGACACGGGCAACGGCTCCTCGTGGATCAGCCTCCTCAAGTAATGGTCAAGAAGTTCGGAATCCGCTGGTTGGAACCTATAACCAACTGGCGGTGGAGCTTCAGACTCAGCAACCGGAAGAAGGTTATTAGGGTCCTGATGATAAACGGAAACTTCCATGGCGCAACGAAAGAAAACAAGAAAAGACTTCAGGGTTTGTGACTTTGTGTACGATATATGGCCCAAGAAATTAAAGAAGATTAGAGATGAATGAATTAAGAGTTAGTGTGTGTGTGTGTGTGTTTATATAGGCATGCAGCAGCGATGTATATCAGCTCGGAGTAGGATTGGAGATTGGAGGAGAGTGATTCGCAAGTAATCAATAAGTGTAATCGATTTTGGAAACCTAATTTCTTTTTCCCCTTGTTCGAATTATCATTCGATGATTAAATTTTTGTTTGCAAATTTTGGTACTCCGTACGTATCTGATAATGATTGTAATAAAGTGTGAGTTTGTTTTCAAAAAAAAAAGTGTGAGTTTATATTTAGAGTATGGACGACTCTTTGAGTGGTATTTGTTAATAGGGAGTAATTTAATTTATGTACTCGTATATATTTATAAGGGGAGGGTTCCCATGACATTGGGAACCAATGTCATGGGATGACCCTGGGGCGCTTTGAGTGGTATTTTGACTCCAAAGTCAAAATCGACTTGTGGGGTGCAATTGAAGGGGGTGTGGGGGTTTGTTCGGGGCGGGCTTGGGTGGGGGTTTACCGGGGGGTTAGAGGGGGTAGGAACCGTCAATTTTACGAACGGGGCACCGGAGCACCCCCGGGTCATCCCATGACATTGGTTCCCAATGTCATGGGAACCAAAGTGTATTTATAAACTGCAGTTTTTTATTACTCTCAATTTCACTATTTTTTTTTTCTCTTTTTATGTGTGTATTTTTAAAAATAATTTGTCCATTATTTTTGTTCCGTGTCATATTTGAGTACTCCCTCCGTTCACAAATAAACTTTACGTTCACTATTCACATGGTCAAACTTTATTCACTTTGTTGGTCTATTTTCGTCACACATTTGATAAAATAATATAGTCATGTCATCTCTAGTTTTGTAGATCTTTTGATATAGTTTTTTAATATGTAATTTTTATTTTTCAATTCTACACTATTTTTCATATGAAATGATTTGAAAATAACTTCGGTCAAACATCGTAACGCGTAATGTAAAGTTTATTTGTGGACGGAGGAAGTACTTTATACTTTGTATTAATTTTAATTTTTTCTTTCTTTCTTTTTAGCATATACTCAAGAGTAATACTCCCTCCGTCCCGGAAAACATGGGAGTTTTGGTTTTGAAAAGGGATTTAAGTGGAGTGTATTTTGGTATTAAATTTCCAAAAATGTCCTTTGATGTGATAGGTAAAAGTATGATTTGATGGATATATTATTAGTAAAAAGATATGATGTGATAGGTAGGGTATGAAAAAATAAGTGATAAAAGTGACTTTTTAATAGAAATGAGAAGTGTTTTTTGGGACGGATGAAAAAAGAAAGGAGAGAGGTTTTCTGGGGCGGAGGAAGTATTACTCACTCAGTCCTACTCCTACTCATTTTAATCCTTCTCTACATTCTCGTGTCCTGAAAGTAGTAGGATAAGGAGGACAAAGTCGTGTTTTGGGATTGTTTTATTGATTTATATAAGTCGTTTTTAACTTTTAAGCTGTCTATAAGTCAAATTTCTTTCGTGGGAGTAAAATGATTTAGATGGTAGGTAAATCATTTGAAAATAGTGAAATTTACACTAAATATGACTAAAACATAAGTCATTTCCCAATGACTTAAACTATTTTATTCCCTAAATAGTATTTAGTAATGTCTATTGAGAGAAATAATATCTAATAATCATGGACATTTACTTGAATAATGACTAATAATGGATAATGACAATGGTCCTACATTTAGAAATAAAAACATATGGTCCTATATTGAAAAAGTCATTATGTTTTAGTCTTATTTAGGTAAATTTTCCTTGTAAATATTCATAAATGATGACAGATAGTTTTGTAAATAATCTAGTCAAAATAGAGAAATGAAAAAATTTGACTTAATATTAAATAAGTAATTATGAAAAACTTATTTTTTTTCAACTTATAAGCAGCCTATAAACATACAGAAACATATTATCAGTTGCTTTATTAAATAAAAACTGTTTATAAACAGTTTTGACTAGTTTATAAGCACAAATAACATCCGCTTGATTATGTATAATACTCCGTAAATGATTTAATAAAAGAAGATTAGAAAAACTACATAAATATGAAAAGTTTACGTCATTGCTCCAACTAATTTGTACTTCGTAGTTTATATCAATACTCCCAAACTTAATAAATGACACGGTTGTTCCAATAGTTCACATTGTTTTATCATATTAGTCCCACGCATAGCCTATCAACCATCTCAATTACGGAGTACTTAATTACCTGTCACATAGATTTCTATTTTAAATCGGGATTTTTTTTGTAGAAAAAGGTGGAACGCCTAGCCTACTCTAGGTCGCTCTCACACCCCGGCCCGATAAGATTGTGAGGGTTGAGTTTAGCTCACCTGCAACACGGTCTGTCGGTTTTTAACTTTTTATATTTAATTTTTTTCTTTTTTATATAGCAATTGACATGTCTGTCAACTGAATTATTCTTTTTTTGTTTTTATTATACTCTAACATTCTGAAATAAAATAAATTGCAAATATTACTTGTTTTTAATGGTATATTCATTAAAACTATTATAACAAATATCTAATTTATTAAATATTGATTTATTTAAAACTAAAGCCAATTTTTATTAGGTAGAACTTATTGCCCATGTTCTCCGTCCTGAAGCCCATGACTGCCCATCCAGGCCGGGCTTGGGTCTCGTAATGTAACATTGTGACCTGACTTGTACTTTGACCGAGTCTTATAGAAATTGTGGATATACACGATGCTATTTTTTAAATATAGTAATCAACAAGTTATATTCCCCTTCTAGAGTGTAAAAGAAGAAAAAAATAATGTAACAAGTAAAATAGTCTAGCACTATGTAAAAACGCTCTGTATATAGTACGACGTATATCAAAACCAGAGGATAATATATATGGTGCGCTATAAAATTACAATCTATGTGATAAGTGATTAAAAAAGTGATGTGACATGGAAAGTAATATAAAAAATTTATGTGAATTAATGATATTGAGTATCGAGATAAAGTACAACAACAACAAGAAGAACTTAGTTGAATCTCATGGCAATACCAGTGGGTGTTGCATAGTTGACAAGACAAGAGATGCACATCGAGTAATACCTGAGTTTGATTTCTGACAACTGTGTTGAGAGACAACTATTCTAAGCATAGAACATATGCAAATATCAAGTGCAAGCTCTACTCTTTGTCACTAATATGCGATTAAAGCATAAATTATCATCTGGCTTGTTTAGAGAGACCCCCTCAGTGATGGGGTTCATTCTTTTTAAATCTCGCAGCAACATGGTCTCGGAGGGTGTGTATACGCAGACCTTACCTTACTAAAAATAAAATGGTTGTTTCCAAGAACCCCCCAATTCAATTAGCACAACTAATAGATAGTACAACAAAGGATCAAACAACAAACAATGGGCAAGAAAAGCACTCACAAACAAAAGGCACACAAACATAAGTAAGAAGAAACACCCCACGCCTGCTGAATAAACAATGACAAGAACTAAACTACCACCAATCTAAATAACTAACCAGCAACTCTAATCCTGGATCTTCAAATGTTCTTACCTATGGTCATATCCTCGATAAAACTTAAAAGGCCAAATCTAGAAGTCTTAAGTCATGTATAATAATCTCATTCTAATTTTTTCTACGTCTTCCACTTTCCTTAGACCCACTACTATTGTAAACCTCTCACATTTTCGCACTGAAGCCTTAGTCTCACGCCGCTTCACGTGACAAAACCATCTCAATTTAGTCACGCGTCTCTGGATAACCTCATTCTTGATTCTATCAAACCTCGTCTGTCACACATCCACTGCAACAGTGTAGCATACACATCTCAGTCGCATGCATTTGACAGACTTGGGCTTTCTTAACCACCTAACACTCCACAGGATAAAGTATAGTTGGTATGACTACTAATTGATAAAATCTACTTTTCAACCTTTCTAAAATCAACTTATCACACACAACCCCTGAATGACTGAACCAAGGTACCAAAACTTGTCACTCCTGGGCAATGAATGTGCATTGATTCTAACTTTTACCGTTGACTCTGACATAGGCACTAAATCCTCCTCGAGATACTTAGTATTAGGATTATCTAATACCATAAAAATATATAATAAAGTAATACAAAGTATAAGATACAGAGTATTAAGATTAAGTAAGTTAAATTGTAGAGGACTTTCAAAATAGTATTTTATTGTATTAATAGGTAATATAAATTTAAAATAATTAAAAATAAAAATTTATTTCATTTAACTTAAAAGGTTAAACTAAACGAGAAAAAAAGAAGTAGAATGGATTTAGAGCTTGTTTTCTTCAACTTTTTCTTATTACTTATTATTAATTCTTATTGTCAGATCGGATCAGATCAAATCAGAAACAATTTTAAATATAATTACAATTAAATTAGATTAAATCAGAATGCATTCCAATCAGATCATAACTAATAAAATTACATGCAGAGAAGAAGCCTTTAGTTATCTCATAAAAAAGTACCTATCAAATATAACATTCTCATCAAATATTATATTGCCTTCATCTAGAAATATTTTTCCAATTTTGATTTTTTAGAGTCAAAATTGATAACTTTTAATCATAAATTAAATAAAGACAATATTAATTGATAAAAAAATATTTTTATTAGAATATTCTCAACCTTTTTATAATACTTCTTCCACTCCTAAAAATCTTTTTTGTTTTAACTTTTTTGATAAAAAAGTAGCACTCTCTTTGACCACATATAATGAGAAAAGTATATTTAATTACAATATAAATTGAATATAACTGAATTATATTAATATATAATTTTGATATGTCAATTTTTATGATTTATTTATTTAGATTATATTTAATTTTTTTTATCGAGATCTAAAAAAATAAAAAAAGATGCCCGAGTAGATTTTAAGGAAAAAGTGGACTCAGGAGTATACCAGGCGGCCACATATCTCCCTTTCTTCGCCCCTAGCTCATTAAATCAATCATCGCCGACGATTAGGGGGGACAACCACCGGACGGATAATGGCAAAGCCGCTTGGACCGACGGGAGAGTTCTTCAGGAGGAGGGACGAGTGGAGGAAGCACCCGATGCTGTCGAATCAGCTCCGCCACGCCGTTCCTGGGCTCGGCATCGCCCTTGTTGCCTTTGGCATCTACCTCGCCGGCGAAGCCGCCTACAACAAGATCTATGCTCCTTCGCATCCTCAATCTGGATCCACCGACTCCGCTTCTCACTCTCACTGAGAACAATCGTCTCTTAGAAAGGTTATCTCACTTCCGGCTCTTTGTTTCTCTCATACGGAATTTCAATTTCAGTTCACGATTGTTACTATTTTGATTTCGTAATGGAATGCTCTAAGCATCGTCTGCTTGTGTTGAATGCTTCTTTCTGTTGTTGAATCATTAGTTACCTTTCCTTTCGGGTCCCCATTTGGAACCAGGATAGTAATACTCCCCAGGAAAATTAAATCTGAAGGTAAACTCAGAAAAATTGGAAGCTGAGAGAATGCAGGGAAAGAAGAAGATAAGCTAAAACTTAGTTAATCTATTTTACATACTTGTTGATGCTAGTTTTATATATTTTAGCCTGTTTTATTGACTAAGAAATCTAAACATGTGCAGTTGATTTTCCAAGATCAATCAAACGTAAGAAAAAACAATATTCCCTTGGCATGTTTTCAAAACTGTTCTCAGCATTTTCAGAGATCCAAACATACCTTTTAGCTCTCCCCTGGTTTTCGGCTCATAGTTTAATCCCTTATTTATTCATGCTGATGGTAGTGTACCTCAATTTCTGTTAGGTTGTGTTTGGGACTAGCATTTCATTTCACTTCATGCATGTTTTCAAAACTGTTCTCAGTGTATTCAGGGATCCAAACATACCTTTTAGCCCTCCACTGGTTGTCAGCTCATAATTTGATACCTTATTTATAGGGATTTTACATAAGTAGTACTAAAACATAGCGACTTTTCCAATGTAGTACCATATGTTTTTATTTCCTAATGTAATACCACTGGTCATTGTTCAAGTTAGTGTCCAACATCATTTATCATTGTTTAAACTAAATGTCCAACATCGCTAGTATGTTTTAGTACTATTTAGTGCAAATTGTACTAATACAAAATGTACTAATACACATTGTTCCTGACATTGTACTAATACACAATGAAATATGTTTTAGTATTATTTAGTGCAAATTTCACCTTATTTATTCATTTTGATGGTAGTGTACCTCAATTTCTATTAGGTAGTTTTGGGGCTAGCATTTCATTTTAATTAATGCATTTCAATTTTAAAATTTGAATTCTTGAATTTCAAATGACAAGGGGAGGCATATAAATTCAAATTGAGCTTTGTTATGAATTAGAGGAATTTGAGTCAAACCCAAGTCCAATTTTTTTTGAGTTTCCCAAACAAGGAATTTGAGCCAAATCCGGATTTGAAATCTTAATCGAAGTTCCCAACATACCATTAAGGAGTTTTGTAGTGTGCAAACTAAAACATGAAAATGCATGCGTTAATGAATTTTAGATTTTTAGTGAACGTAGACCGGACATGTGATCAGAACACGCATTGGCTTCTCTAGCAGTCTAGCTTAGTTTCTGTTCTTGACTCCTTACTCTGAGTCTGAGAAAATCATGTTCCATTATTCGTGGGGTAATTGGAGGGTTAGAAACAAGTTCATACACCAGAACGAAGTTATCAAGGCTGAGGAATGCATTGCTTGTATATGGTTTAATGTTAAACATTTTATTAGTTTCAAACTCAAAGCTAGATGACCTGTTTAGAAAATGTTTAGTCTTGGTAATTAGCTTGTCGCTGCACTCAGTTTGAAGGTTGTTTGATTTGGGTTGATGAATAAATATGTGCTGAGGTTCAAAAAAACAATTGTCTAATTGAGAGGAAATGGGGGTAATAGAGAGGCAATTAAAAGTGTGTGTGTGCGTGTGTGCGCAAACACACACATATATCTTGAGCAGTTGATCTATTAGTTTTAAATTTTGTTTTGGCTTTGCATCCATGTTCTTGGCTCTCCTGAGCTCTACTTTTCTCTAGTAGTTCCTAGTGTGACCTTATAACTCCCAAGGGGAACTCTCTCTCTCTCTCTCTCTCTCTTTCTCTCTTATATATATATATATATATATATATATATATATATATATATTCACATTGACGTCTGGATTAGCATCTTAACACGTATTGGCGTATGGATCAACACATACATGCCACTCTGCTAGATTATGGTAAATAAGTTATGAATTTTTTGGTTATAACTTATAAGTGTGCATATGTGCATAGATTTATTGATATTTATAGGGTAGTGTTCCACAGCCGGGTGTTAACTTCATTGATCAACGGATCAAATAAAGGAACTAACGGTCTTGTTTTATACTGCCTTCCCTTAAAGATCTTACGGTGGTTTCTCACTTTCTCCTTTCACTTCCTCTGCTCTTCACTAAACTAATTCACTTAGTACCGCTCAAAGTTAGTGCTTTTTAGGAGAAAGCACCAATCAAGCAGGAGGGTTAGCTGGAAAAGAACCCATAAATGTCTGCAAATCACTGTAAATTAGAAACAACGACAACCCAGTATATTGAAGCTGTTTATCATTGTACATAAGAAAGATGAAGTAAAATTATACCTTGATATCTTAAAAAGACGCTTTATCTAGAAAACATGTCTCCAAAGTTGTCGATCCGAGAGGGGTACTAATACAATGTTTTATCATCACTGTGAACAGGAGTGCAATTGGCACGACATTTGTAAGCTACTTCTCTGTCATGTTGCTGGTGTGGGGATAACTAACATTAGGGCTAACTATATACATGCTATTAGTTAACGGTTTGGTTCTCATGACGTTGGAAATCAATATCATGGGATGAGCTGGGGTTTCTACGATGTTTCATTTGAAAAATTGATAGTTCCTACCCCCCTAACCCCTTCGGTAAATCCTCCCACCCCGGCCTGACCCGAACTCACCCCCCACCCACGTCAATTGCACCCCACAAAACTTAGTTGACTTTGGAGTCAAATTTTGATGCTAAAGTCAACTAAAATTTGTGAGGTGCAATTGACGTGGGTGGGGGGTGAGTTCGGGTAGGGCCGGGGTGGGGATTTACTGTCGGGAAGGGGAGGGTAGGAGCTAAGGGTAAGAACTATTAATTTTTCGAACAGAGCATCGTAGGGACCCCAAACGGGACCCATGTCATAGGATGATGACATGGTGGCTAATGACAGCCGAAGGCCCCCCCGTTATTTAATCTTTCCCTTTCCCATTGTTGAGCTGCTTTTCAACATTGCCCTTAAATCCCCTTATACTGCTGATAGGCACAAATATATTCACCCCATATTCGTTTTGTTCTGCAGAGGAACCAATTCTTGAGGCGAGCAGAAGCAGTGTGTGTGTGTGTGTTTAAGGAATCTATTATGTTTCTTTACTGTATCATCTTTGTTGTGTTTATCAATAAAATCAAACACGAACTTTTCTTCAATCGAGCTAAAACAGTTCGGGCAACTGATTTTTGGATATGGTAATGAGGTAATCTTCCTATTTTAGTCAACTTCTATTATTGATTCCTATTACTAGTTGGAGTTATAATCCCCTCTATATATACTATGTAATGCATCCCTTTATTTTTTGAGTAATATTCCATTCGTTCTACAAAATCCTTCCTCTTTCGTTTTTTTTGCTTTTCACAAAACACTTCCACTTTCTATTAAAAAACCACTTTTATCCCTACTTTTTCATACCCTACCTATCACATCATACTTTTTCACCAATAATCAAACTATCACATCTTACTTTTTTCCATCACATCAGGGGCAAAATTGAAAAGTCAACCAAAATTATATTTTTCTTATTTTTCCCCAAAGTCAAAACCGGAAGGGTTTTGTGGAACGGAAGGAATACAATTGTTCCTTTATCGAGTAAATGTAAGGCCAGAGTGTGGTCTTGTGCATTAAAAAGGCTAAGCACAGCCTAAAGCCAATTCCAATAAGCTCTTGCACTTGGAACATATTTGCTTTGTCCATCAGTATTTGTTTACTTTTGATTTTTTTTGGTTAAAATTAGTAAATTTTGAGTTCAAATTAAATAAAAATGAATTTAATATGAAAATAGCTTTGTTAGATATATTATATAAATATTTTTAAAATATTTTTTTATCTACTTAATATACAATTTATATTTTATTTAATTATACGTCGAACATTAAGAATAATTGATTGAAAAAAGCTAAAATTGGACAAATAATCTACAATGAGGTAGAGTAATAATTAGTAACATAACACCCAAGATAAAAAGGCACCCCAAAATTACTCCGTATAAAAAGAATAATTCATTCGTCTCAAAATTATTTTTTAGTTTGACTTTTTCAATGACCGAGATGATAGATTGTGAAAAAGCATATTTAGTTAAAATGTAAATATACTTTGTGGAGTAATTTGTGGTCAAATAGGCCATAAAAATCAAGCTAGGACGATAATTTTAGCACGAGTGAAGTATCTTTTACTTCCTCTGTCTTATTTTAAATTTGCATGTTTGATTTTTTTCTCCGTCCCAAAATAAGTTGTATGTTACTTGCTATCGTAAACTTTTAAGAGTAAAACATCTATACTACTCCTAAAATAAGTCACTCTTCTCCACCTTATCTTCTCATTCATTGTTACCCCTCCTAAAAAGTAATGACAATTTCAGAAAATTAACTCTATTTTTCCTCTTCTTTAAATTTATCCAAACGTCAAAACAGACGATTTAAAACGAGACGGAGGGAGTACCAATTTATACACGGGGCCACTAATGTAGTAATGTTACCACCAATTTTCTCTCTCTTGCCCTCAATTCTCTCTCAAATTTTTTACATTATGTTTAGTTCAAAGATTTGAAAGGAGAAAATTGAAAATGAAATAGAAAATAATTATTCTAGTTTGGTTAGATAGAAAAAAGAATATATAACAAGTGAAAGAAAAAGACTAATTCTTTTGTCCCATAATGGATGCCACATTTCAAACAACGTACAAAATTTCATTACTTATAAAATTATTTTGATTATAAATTGATATATAAATAAAAAGTATAAATTACACCGTTCAAAAGTATATAAAAAATTCTACAAAATAAGAAGTAATAAGAATAATTTATATTATCAAATGTCCAATAAAAATATTCAAACAAATTAAAATTATCGAGAAATCGTAATAGTATCAATATTCTTCATTTTGGGACGTAGGAAGTACAAAAAAACAAAATAAGCTAATAAGAACAAAAATTAAATTCCTTCTATTTTGACAAAAAAAAATAATTTTTTCTCTTTTCTTTCCAAATTTCGTTTATGTATTCATGGGGTACTATGAAACCTCCCTATTTCCGAGCATTATAGGAATCATCAATTTTGTTCTTGAGTGAATGGTTCCCCTGTTTCTGAAATATAGTGCGAGAAAAGTTTCATAAATAAAAAATAAAGTTTCAAAGATAATTTGGCCCGGAAAAGTTCTTCCCAAAAAAGCTCTTCTCCTCCAATCATGTCCCGTCTTCAGATCGGCCTTCACCTATCTCCGCTGTTCTCGAAAACCAGTCCCCCAACACACTACCCAACGCCGTATTCTCCGAACGATCCTCTATTTCCACAAACCCGCAGCCGAAAGATCGTTTCTTTGGGGAATTTAAGATGCGCCCATTCAAGAACCACTCTTAGTGCAGTGCCCAGAGAAGATCACAGTGTATACATATTTTTACGCATTCTTTTCTGACTTGTTTCGAAAAAAAAGTTTGGGATTTTCTTGATTTTGAGAGTTTAATCGGTCTTGCAATCAGCTGAGCGCAGATTCTGTGGTGAAAGAGAGAAGTGTTTCAGTGATTCTTCTTGCAGGAGGGATGGGAAAAAGAATGGGTGTAAGTATAATATATAATTGCCACTCTGAAATCTCAACTTGAACAGAAGAACATGTAAAATCAGGTTTAGATTTTTATTTAATATGCAAAATGGTGCATCTTATATTCATAAATGTCATTGTATTTTGATAATTCCCCTAATTTTTTTCTTGTTTATAGGTGAGCATGCCAAAGCAGTATCTTCCACTTCTAGGTCAACCGATTGCATTATACAGGTAAATGGGAAATTTTTATTGATTTTTCAGCCCTAAATCCCAATTGAATTCTAATGAGCTGTTGATTCGTGGTGGATTTCGTTTATCAACAACAACAACAACAACCCAGTTGAATCCTACAACAGTAGGGTTTGGAGAGGGTGCGTGTACGCAGACCTTGCCCCTACTCGGAAGTAGGGAGGCTGATTCGTGGTGGATTTCGTTTATCATTCATGCAATTTGGATTTGCATGTAAAGTGGGAAAAAATTGATTACAAATGTTAGTCGAAAGCCTTGGCATTAGCATTTGTGAAGGCTTTTGTAATTCGTAGTTTCTACTCGTTTCAGTTTCTACACTTTCTCCAAGGTGCCTCAAGTGAAAGAAATTGTTGTGGTATGTGATCCATCTTATAAAGATGTTTTTGAAGGTACGGAGGTATTCGTTTTAGATTTATCAATTCAGCAATGCACTTCAAATGGAGCCAGTAATTGCAGCTGGTTTTCTTTCCTTTATAATGTGGCGAAAGTGTTAATTTATTCAAGATTTCGTTTGTTCCTTCCCTGCTTCTTTGGACTTTTCACGTAGCGTCATCCATTAGATTATTTATACCCACTTTTTTTGTTCAGACGCCAGAGAAAAGATCGAAATTGAATTGAAATATGCATTGCCTGGAAAAGAGAGGCAAGATTCTGTATATAATGGATTTCAGGTACACAGCAACAACTTTCTCAGATGAAAGATTCTTGCATTCCAACTAGCAATCATTTAAAATGTATTTATAAGTGGATATTTCCCAATTTTCATCACATACAAGTATTCATCCCAATTCTCAGAAATTATTTTTAATCTTCTAGCCACACATGTTTTTTTGTAATGTATCAGGTTGTTGATTTGAGCTCTGAAGTCATTTGCATCCATGATTCTGCAAGACCTCTAGTATCTCCAGGAGACGTCGAAAAGGTTAGATCATTAAACCTTAAGAGTTTGTTTGGTAATGTTGCTTTTTATGTTTTTAGATTTCTTTTCCATCAAATTTCTAAAATATAAATTATACTTTTCTTTTTGTTTTGTATAAATGATTTCTACTATTTCTTATGAAAATTATCTATTTCAAAGAAAAATCTAAACACAATACAATGATTCCATACATTGATCTTACAATACCCATCGTGTTATGCAACATTACAGTATCAAATATTTCAACTCATTGTCACCGCAGTGGTGATTCTAGAAATTATTTTTATTGGGGGCACATACTTCATAAAATTTAAAATAAATTAAAATAAAACAAAAATGCAAAGTAGGAAGCATTGTGTCTCATGATTTTTTTCCATGCTTGAATTCAATAATATTTTGAGGGGTTGGGGAAGATGATTAGATGAGTATAAAGTGAGGCCTTAGCAATGGTTCGTTTGGTATATGGATTTGTTGGAATTGGAATTGAATTAGAATTGATATTCCATGGGATTCAATTCCATAGGGTTGAATTCACCAATTTCAATTCATTTTTTGCACTATCAATTCCAAATCCACATGATTTTTGTGCTACCAAACACCAAAATTGGAACTGAAGTCCTCAATTTCAATTCCATAGTTTGAATTCTGTGTACCAAACGGGGCCTAAATATCTCCTTTTTTTGGATTATTTGCAGGTCCTAATGGATGGTATGCTTGTTGGAGCAGCTGTTCTTGGAGTTCCTGCTAAAGCAACTATCAAGGAGGTATATGTTTAGTCAAATTATGTTTTATGTTAAATTTCATTGGTCGTAAATTTGTTTCCTTATGATTTCGATGAATGTCATCACCAATGGATGATTTGCAGGCTAATAATGAATCCTATGTTGTGAGAACTCTAAACCGAAAGACGCTTTGGGAAATGCAGACCCCACAGGTTTGTACATAAATTTGAGTTTAAATTGCCTCTTGGTGGGATTGGCAAAAGAAATCTTGTTTTGCTAGTCAATTAACCGTTCTAGTACAGGTAATCAAGCCGGATTTGCTTAAGAAAGGGTTTGAGCTTGTCAATAGGTAATCAATTTCATCAATTTTAGCGGTGTTAGCCGATAAAATACCCACGAAAAAATAAAATAATAAACTTGGAACATTCTTTTCATTATCAAACTTGCTCTAAAGGAATTGCAGCAATCAGAGTCTTGAGAAATTAAAGGTAGAGGATGATCTGATTACTCGCATGTTTGCAGGGAAGGTCTTGAAGTGACAGATGATGTGTCTATTGTCGAGCACCTTAAACATCCGGTCTACATTACACATGGCTCTTACACTAATATCAAGGTATTTTTAAATTCTTTTTTCGACACATTGCTCTTTTCATTTCATGCGCCAACTTGTGGGACAAAAATGCATTTTGCAGGTTACAACTCCCGATGATTTGCTGCTCGCCGAGAGGATATTACACACTTCAAATTTGCAGAATTGATTATGTCTCTGTATGTTCCTTGTATCCTTTGTTCCTAGCTGAATATGTAGTTTTCGCTTAACTTATTTGGCTGCTATTATGTTTAGCTCAATTTAGTTCAGTGCCACCATTTCTATATGAGACACAAGTGGAGATGGCTTTTTGTGTTTGCAAGACTACACAATTTTCTTCTCACTTGCATGTCGTTCAAATGAATTCCAATTTTGAATAAGATGATTTTCGAACATTAAATCGACGAAAAAGAGAATGCTAATGATTGGAGAATCATTGCTGCAGCTGAAATGTGGATAGCTCAACAAGCTGCCCGAGGATGAGAACGAATAATTTCTTATTCCCGCCATTCCTACATAACTGGCTAATAAGACTTTCACAATATTCCGGGGTACAACAAAAATCAAATGAATGTGGACATAATATTTGTCTACATTTGTTCAAAATCTAATGTATCTAAAAGTCATAATAGACAGTTATTTCTTTCCTTTGCAAGAATTGTTGTCATTATTATTAATCCACCACATAACGCTGATTGAATCCTCGGACCACCCACTTAGCTTTGTACTTGAACAATTTACCTGTAGGGCTAAGTTTAATTTGTGTTGAAAAACCCATTTACAATACAAGATATAATATTTTGGTTTGGGGGTGAGGCCTGAGGGGGTATTATATCCCATGTATGATTTTTAATCAAGGCATTAAATTTTTCACACATTGTTGCATATCAGTTTGCATCTTTCAAAGCATTGCAAAGTTGGGGGGGGGGGGGGGGGGGGGNGGTTGTGGCTATGGTGTTGAGCTTAACTATTTGTTTTGGACAAGAGATCCGGGCTTGCTTGTTGCCATGAAACAGGTGGTTGATGGCCATCCCGAGAGCATGAGCGTAGGAGTTGGAGGCAATAATTAAGTCAGATACCTCGTCGGAGATGGTGGAGAGGACCCACCGTTGAAGAGGAGTATCCAATTGGAGTCATTCGACGTCATCATCATCCGAGGGAGTGACGACACCATTGAAATAGCCTTGGAGGTTGGATCTTTGAACGAGAAGGCGAAATGAACTACCCCATTTTTCTTGAGATTAGGTTTCGATATACCGAGTTGAGTCGGGATATGGAGTTTGATGCTGGAGATGGTGGTGAAGGTAAGATGAGGGAAAGTGGTAGGGTTGCCATTGGAGGTGGTGGAGGACTTGTCATCATTGCGTGCCATGATCGCTAAAGGAGATGAGATTTGTCATCAGCAAAAAGAGAAGAGAAGCGTTTGGCGATGAGATTTTTCAGAAGGAAGATATCGGAAGATTTTTAGGGTTGTGATCAATGTGCATTTGATAATCTTCACAAAACTGAAACATTTTCTTAGCATATGTGCAGTTCCCAAAACAAATGAGCCAAAACACCTCATAAATAGCCAAAACTGAAACAATTTGTCTTTTGTTTGGAGTCTACCTCTCATAAATAGAAATAGCCAAAACACCACATGAATTTTAGGGGGTAAACATATTTTCCATACCCATTCCTTCCATTTAGGCACCTCTTTTTTCCTTATAGCCACTTGTATCCATCTTTAATCTCATATCTCTAAATTGATTCCTTACTTGGTCAAACATTGTAAACAGAAACAGACGATTTAAATAGGAACGAAGAAAGTAAGATGTTTTGATTTTGAGATTGTTACTCCTCATAGTTTACTGGATTTTGATTTGGCTTCCAAAAAAATTTAAAAACATTCCCCGATTACTCTGTATATGTGGGCTTTTGACATTTGGCGCATCGAACGGATAAGAATCTTGTGGAGCCAAATTAAAAAGCCAAAAATATTAAAAAAAAATCTAATTATTTTTTAAAGCCATTTTAGAAAACAAAAAGATGCTCCGTACACAAGAGCAATATCATCATATCAAGCTTTAATAACAAAAAATTCAGTGTAAATTTATTCTGTATCTACAACATACAATTAATCATGTAAGAGAGGAGACCGGCTCATCGCACTGGCCATTTATGACGAAGAGAAATATAGTTATAAATACGGTGTGGGAGAGCATAATGGGCCTAAGACAAAATATGGATCTGCAGCCTGAAGGTAAACATTTGTCCTCTTCAATTTATGAAGCAAAAAGTATAATAAAAAATTGAAAAATCAATTATACTAAAATTATATAATAATTAAATATACTCTTTTATAATGTATCATGATCAAAGATTGTCACAATTCAACAAAAAAACGTCGAAACAAGAAAACGTTTTTGGAACTAATGTAGTATGTAATTTGTATTTTTATCTTCATATGATTCGTAAACATAATAAATTTTAAAAAAAGATAAAATTTTGCATAACGAGACCATATTTTTGAGACGTATGGAATAGACGCTACTAACATCGCCAGCCATGATCGCTAAAGGAGATTAGATTTGCGATCGGCAAAAGGAGAAGGGAAGGTTTCGAAATGAGATTTTTTGGAAAAGAGAGGACATCGTAAGATTTTTAGGGCTTTGATACCATTACGAGTTATATTTCTCAATAATAATAATGTCGAGTTACATGGGTATACATAGCTAAGTTTCAGAAAACCATTTGGTGTGCTTTTTCATAGCAGGGTAGGGTTCCCCGATTACTCTCTATCTGTGTGCTTTTCACATTTGATGCAATGAACGGATATGAATCTAGTCGAGTCACATTATGAAGTTGAAAATATGAAGAAAAAAATCTAAATAATTTTTAAAGTCATTTTAGTTAAAAAAAGAATTCGTACACGAGCAATATCATATTAAGCTTTAATAACAGAGATACACAGTGAATATAAGAAATTTTGATATTAAAATTTTTCAAATTCACGCTGTATCTTTGTTATTAAAGCTTGATGTTGATGTGATGATATAGCTGGTGTAATAGAAGCAATTGGTTTATGGAAATGGCCATTTATGAAGAAGTGAAAAATATAGTTATATATACGGTGCGGGAAAGCAAAATGGGCCTAAGACAAAATATGGATCTACAGCCTCAAGGCAAACATTTCTCCTCTTCAATTTCAAGAGCCACACCCAAAAGAAACAAAAAGTATACTTCCTCTGTTCCAATTTAAATCCTCTATTTCAGTTTACGATATTTGACTGAAGTTATTTTCAAACCATTTAATATAAAAAATGATGCAGAATTAAAAAACAAAAATTACATATTTTAAACAAAATGATTCTTTTGACCTAGACCTCGGGTCATATTATGACCTAGGGTCCCTACGATGCTCTGTTCATAAAGTGATGGTTCCTACCCCCATAAACCACCCCCCTCAACTCTACCTGCCTGCCCCACCACAGTACCCCCTGCCCCCTCCCCATTTCGCCGATTGGCTACAATATTTGGCTTCAGCAAATATATTGTAGCCAATCGACGAAATTGAGACCCCCCCCCCCCCCCGCAGGGGGTGGAGTGGTGGGCTGGACCATCAATTTTACGAACGGAGCACTGTAGGGGCCCCGGGTCATGATATGACCCGAGATTCTAAAGTTAAAAGATCTTGTCCTATTTTAGAACTACATCAAAAGATTTACGAAACTAGAAGTGACACGACTATATTATTTTATCAAATGATTAAAGTAAATAGGGATACACAGTAAATAAAGTTTGACCATGTGAGTAATAAACACGCATTGTAATTTGGGACGAAGGGAGTATTTTGTTTTTTAAAAAAAACAAATTATATTAAAATTCCATTATAGTTAAATATACTATTTTACAATTTATGATCAAAGAATATCACAGTTTAACAAAAAGAAGTCAAAACAAGAAAAATTTTCTAGAACAATCCATACCGGTTTATAAACAAAATAAATTTTAAAAAAGATGGAATTTTGAATGATGTTCGAAGTGAGATCATAATTTTGAGACATGGAGTAGACGCTATTAACATATGTTGAATGATATTACAACTTTCTTAGTAGAAATCCGAGAGTAGTGGGGTCCAAGGGGTAAAGTCCCTTCCTCGGGTTGAAATTTATGAAAATCGTTTTCATAAAAGCATTCCAAGGGGGAGTGAGAGTATTATTGATTTATAAACAACGGGGCACCGGAGCACCCCCGGGTCATCCCATGACATTGGTTCTCAATGTCATTTGAACCAAGGTGATTATTGATTGCACAAAAGTTTTGCTGGGCTTGAGGACTTTACACAATGGCTTGTTCAATTCAATATATTCCAAAGCTCAAAGAATAGGAATAGTTGTGGAATTGTGGATGTTATAATAACAAATATACAAAAAAAGAAAAAGATAACCATAAAAACAAGAATAAAATCTTGATTCAGAAAAACTCTAGTGTTATATTCTGTCCTTCATCTCATCTTTTGTTCTGTGTTCGCCCTTTTGCGCACTCTCCAAAACATGAAAGACGCCCCCCTCTGCTCGGGCGAACCGGGGTCCCATGTTTCACCTGCTCACAATAACAGGATTTTGATGAACTTTCAATGTCTATGCATGCATTAAAGATAAGATAATGAATGTTTGGTAAAGAATCTTGCAAAGTTTGGCAGCAGTTTCAGCGTTTTGAAAAGAATATCTAATGACAACATTTAATTTGAGCATTTTCAAAGTTAATCTGCACCGTTTAAAAATTATCCAAAACGCGAATTGAAAATGGTGTTCCCAAACAAGGTCAAGTTTGATAGGTGGGGAAGATTACCTTCCTCCCTCTTTGAGTGTTTGTGTTATTCCAACATAAAAGCGCACTGCAACCATATGCTCCCGATCCCGATTCATATCCCCTGTATTTGTAATCATAAACAATATCGGCATTAAAAAAACTTCTAATTCGGGGATTTTTTCGGCGTTAAAAAGTAAGAACATAGATCATCAAATCACAAACTTGTTTGGGGATTTTTTCCACTATGACATCTTTTTTCTCTTTTGCTATCCGACTACGGATTTCTTTTTAAATTCTGGGTGCACAACTACAAATTTTTTGCACATTTGATCCTTCTCATCACTTGTGAGGAGGAAATTCAACCAGATCTTGTATGGAAATTGGGCCAAAAGCTAAAATAGCCTAAGAGTGCCAGGACCAAATCCTAAAATGGCCAAATAGTGTTAGGACCAAAAGTGCAGCATTTTATACTCCGTATGTCCCACATTTTTCATCATTCTTTCCTTGTCCGTCTTTCACAAAACTAACTTCACTCTCCTTTTATGGAAATGAGCTCTGTGATTAACACTGTTTTTCCCTCATCTGCATAAAACTTAACCCCACAATTTTTCCTTAATTAAAAAGTCGTGTAGAGTCAAAACCAATGATAAATACGGAAGAGATATACTTGGTTTGTTTGGTTTGGTTTGGTTTCAGAAAAGCAAAATACTCTCGTTGTTCCAAAATAAAATTTACACTTTCCTTTTCGAGATATCACAAAATAAAGTTTACACTTATTTGCTTTACTAATAAAGAAAGCAACTACTTTGGCCACTATATATCTTTCTTCTAAACAAATTGCGTCCACTCATTTTTTACTCTTCTACACTTTTTTAAATTTTGTGAGGTTAGATTATAAACTTCATTTTGGGACGGATGGGAATAAAAGACAAAGCTAGATCAAGAAGAAGAAAAAAAGGTGAACAGAGAAATATGATAGACTTACATGCTGTCTTTGCCAATGCTATTGCTTGCATAGCCCGCGGTATCATGCAAGAAACTTGGTGAAATGGGACAATGGTCGACCTTCTTATTGCTCGGTTCTTTCAGATTCTTGACCTTCTTTTCACCGCCGACCCTCAAATTCTTGAGTTCTTCATGCAGTTGCTCATCCATGTGAAAGGAAGCCGTTGTCATGGGTTGATGCATTTCATTATCTTGTTGGGGCAGAACCTGATTCCTCTCCGGTTTATTAAGCCGGTTCAATGATGAACCGGGAGTGCCTTTTTCCATTGCCTGCAACCATGCTGTTTCTAGCATCTGTTCATGGATAATGGACTCTATTCTCTGCACTGGAATCTCCGGCATTCCCTCTTTAGACCCAATTGTGGCATTATCATCTGTCTGCTTTGTACTTGAATCCAAAGCAGGTGTTTCTGTCCCCTCCTCTCCTCCCACTGGTAACAGAATGAGTCTAACGTCCACGTTTCTTCGCAAAACATTCTCAAATGAGTTTGTGATGCTGCTCAGAAACCTCTCCACTCTTGTTTTTATTTCCTTGTCCCGAAACGCAACGTGGGCAACAAAAACTCCTGTAAATTAAATTAAAGAGTTGGTATGTAACAAAATGTACAAAAAAAACTACACTTGGCAATACATAAGTTAGGGACCGTCGTTTGGTTAGGGTTATTGAGCTGGAATGGAGAGGCCTGATTCTGTTAAATAATCAGCAAGGAAAAGCTTTTCGTAACATCCATTAACGCCAATTAAGTAAAGTTGAAAGCTTACTTATTCTGTTGATGGCTAGAGTAAGCAAAAACATGCTGATTATGGCTACCGCACAGAGCTTCAGAGCAAGTTTGGTAGTCGAAAGTGACTTATTCTATTATGACTTTTTGCATACGCTAAAAATTGAATGAATGTGGACATGCATTTGTCCACATTCATTTTATTCTTATTGTATGTAGAAAGTCATAATGGACAGTTATTTTAGAACCGAGGGAGTACTTTTTTCAGGAAATTCAACAAATTCAGCCAAATAGCCTTGCAATGTCATGAAAAGCACTTGGGATATTAAAAAAACTACTAATTTGAGAAAAAAAGAAAAATCTCACCTTCGATTTCAGACATAGAAACGAGAGTTCCATGGGTATGCAGAATCTGCTTCAAAGTGTTGGAATGGCACTTCTCGATGCATCTCCTCCAAACATCATCCAACACATTTGTATCCAGACATCTTCTAGACACCGTCAATTTGTTTTGAGCAGCGGCAGCCTTTGAGTGTCCAACCTCATCACCTACCAAGATTCTATTACTGGCCTTTGAACGTCCCTTCTGTTTCTGGGAAGAATCTTCTTCCTCCATTGGAGCCTTGGAGCTTTGCCTCCGGCTACTCCCAGAATGAGTTTGATGATCTGGAGAAGGAGCAGAACCTAACTGTAGTAGGGTTGCTGTGAACCATGTCGAGCGTTCGCTTGAGACACGTAATTGTTTCTCTGCATCTGAAAGTAGCTTCAATGCATACCTCAGCCTATCAACTTCCATCTCAGATACTGAAACCATATTCATTGCACTTCTTGTTAGCAATATAATTTACTCCCTCTGTTTGCAAAAACCATTCCTATTTTGACTATTGGGAGGAATAATGAGTGTATATATTGTGCTTGATATTTGTGATGGGTAAAAGTAGGATGAGATGGGTTATGGGTAGTTTAATAGTAAATAGATATGATGTTACAAGTTAGGTATGTTTTAGTAAGGGTAAAATAGACTTTTAATAGAAAGTGGAAGTGTTTTGTTGGGAAACAAATGAGAGAGAAAGTGTTTTAAATAATGGAAGGTGTATCTATTTATCTACTGATAAAGTCCAAGGCTCTACCAAAAATGAACCATTAAAAAGAAAGCTTAAAAACATAAAGAAAATCAACCCTTTTGGTAAGGCCTTAAATGGATGAATCTGCTGAATTATGTAGAGTACAATAACAACAAAACCCAGTATAATCCCAACTCTGTTGGGGGTTTGGGTGCTAGATTATGTAAAATATTTGTCTAAATAGATTTTTTAAATAAATCCAAAAGGAAAAAATCTAGGAATGAAAGTTGAAAAGTTCTTCAAATTTCATCCATTTCAACCAAATGAGTATGACTTCTGCACTACTTTTTTAGTTTTATTATCATTATTTAGTGTTTGGTGAAAAGTCTAGCCTATAAGCCGAAAAATGCCTACCACTCGGGCACTAATACTGATAATATTAAATAATTTAGATAAGGGGAAAAAGGACTTACAACTCTTTCCAACAAAGGATGATACATCAGTTGGTTTTGCATCAATACTAGGTAGAGTTCCCGCAATGATATCCATGATGAGGGCAGCCAATTGTGACATCAAAACTATTGGATCCACGCCTGAATCCAATAACTCTCGGGCCCGTTTCACTGTTTCTGCCGTGTCAGATGAAATGGCCAACTCCAAAAGTTCTAGTAGTTTTTCGTCCGAAACTACCCCAACCTTTGGAAGAAGGATAATTCAGTTTGAATCATTCAGCTCATGTCAAATAATACAAAGATTCTACAAACAATTGGCTAATTCCAGATGATGAAAACACTTCACCATACAGGGTTATTTATGTCTTTGCTCATTAGTTAAGCACTTCAGCATTTTTCGTTTGCAAACACTCAAATTCAATTAAGCAGAGAATTATACTTCAATTTGCAAGCACTTCCACATCCCATTATCTCATAGGCATTATATATTGTGTTTATCTCAAACACCAACTCTCAAGGCGTGCTCTATTTGTACTACCCTTTGCTTCCTAAAGTTTCTACATGTTATCAAGAGTCTAATACATAGCAAGAAATTCGTTGCCTAACAAAAGAATGTCACATAGACAGTATAAACTACAGAGTATAAAGGAAGAAATCAATACTGACCAGATCATTCACCAAGGATGTAGTGATGCGTTTCCCCAGCAAACTGAGTTGGTCTAACATAGTTTCTGCATCACGAAGTGACCCATCTGCATTCAAAGCTATCAACTCAAGTGCTTCGGGTTCCACTTCCAAATTCTCACCAGTTACAAGTTTCTTCAATCTGGTCACTATATCACTGTCCCTAATCTTATTGAAGAGGTACTTCTGGCAACGGGACACTATGGCACGCGGCACATTCTCAAGATCCGTAGTGATGAACACAAAAACGACATGTGGTAGCGGTTCTTCAAGAAACTTCAGAAATGCCAACCAAGTCTTTGAGGGCAGTAAGTGGCATTCGTCAATGACAAAGACCTTACACCCTGAAGAAGAAGTTGAAGTGGATTGGCGAGCTACACTCTTTAAAGAGAGAGTCTTCAAGAGATACTTGAGTTTGTCAATCCCCTTCTTGTTTGTTCCATCAACTTCTCTAAGGTTCTTACACTTGCCCCCGGATATGACCTCTGCACACTCCCTGCAGCCCCCACAGGGCTTGGCTTCTTGTGTCGAGAGGCAATTTAGAGCTGCTGCAAATATCCTAGCAGTTGAAGTTTTTCCGGTCCCACGCGGGCCTTGAAAAATGTAAACAGGAGCAATTCTTCCTCTAGAAACTGAATTCATTAGGGATTGGATGACTATATTTTGACCAATCAACTCGTCAAAAAATGTTGGCCTATACTTCTGGCAAAGGCCTCTGATACTCTCAGGGGAATCTTCTTCCTCATCCTCTTCCCCAGCAAATGCCACTAGCTCTCTGCAGCTCCTCCCATCCAACCTGCTCAATGCCTCCAAATCAAGTTCTCCAAAGTTTGTGGACACCTCATCATCATCATCATCACTTGCAGTTCCCATAGATGACCCTCCGTTTGTTAGCAACGGGACCCACGACCCAGGTCTCCTCTTGTCGCGTCGTCTTCTTTGATGGCTGCTTCCACATAGAAAGGTGCTCCCTTTCTTCCTCCTCAACGTGTCTGAAATAGAGGGCGAATATAATTTTGGGGTAGACCTTCTGGATGATATGGACCAGCAAGACATCCCACACCCATGCCTGCCCATCGTCATCCCTAACTGACCATCCACCTCATCATCACCGTCGTTTATGGATTGGGTTGTGCCACCCCATGACCCTACTGTGCTTGGTGGATTCCTAACACCATATCTATTGTAAGAGCTGGTTGACAAAGCAGGGGTACTATAGGAATAAGAAGAATCCTCTCTTCTACTACTGTTTCTCAACTTATAAGCCCAGTTCTTCCTACTCCTCAACCTAGCAAGCAACGGCGAGGCTACAGAAAACCTCCTAAGCTCCTCTACATTGGAATTAGAATAATCCTCTGTATCTTCAGAATCGCCGGGCACACCCTCTGAAAATCTTCTAGGGATTCTACCAGAAAAAATTTGCTTTTTCTGCAATATGGAGCTGGAGAAGTTACTTTTCTTTGATTTTTTCTTGATATTTCTTCTGATGGATGGCATAAAGTTGGTGTCTTTACACTTCAAGATCATTGAACCATACCTATGATCACCCAAATAAGTGTCACTCTTGGAATCATTGCCACCATGCCTCACATCACTCAGGCTATCATCAATGCTCTCTTCAGGTGTAGTAGGCGAGCAGTTTCCATTCCGGCTTCCATTTTCTAATCCCTTCCTTTTACTCCTCTCGCTCTCCGATTTCTGCAACCGCCAATTATACAAAAAGACCTTCTTATCCTTCTCCTTCCCACTAATATCTGGATTTCCATTTCTTTCAACCCGAAAAGCCGGATGTGGAGTGATTTCACTAGCAGAGGCAACTTCTGGAGCTCCATTGAAAGCATCACCAGAGTTACTGTGGTGGTGGGAGTAATGGTGTTTGGAAGTATAGTTCAGTATATCACCAGCCACCGCCGTGGATCTAGAGGAGCCCAGCGGCGACTGCCAGGAAGAGGTGGTTCCGGGATCTCTAAGCGCCTTGGCAGCTTTCTTGATTTGGGTCAATTCCCTCTTCAAATGCAAGTTGCTCGGGTCAAAACTATTACCCCCGCCGCCGCCACTTCCGCCGCCACAGCTCCGGCGGCACATTTCTGAAGACATTGATTTCAGTGCTGAGAAAGAACCAAGACGCGCTTCCGCAAAAAGGGTTCACCCAAAACTCAAAATTTCTTTCAATAAACCAGAAAAAATCTCAACTTGGACCACACAAATTTCCACACACAAATAGATCTGAGAAAAAAAATTCAACCTTTTCCCTATCCAGCTTTAAGAGATGAGAATAAACTTACCCTTTGTATAGAAGTAGGGTTCGTTTGGGAGGGGGGAAGAAATGGTGAGGAGTTTCAAACTGTCAACAATGGCAGTGGAGGATCAGAACAAGAAAGAATAATTAAAGCACTGATTTTCAGGAGAGGAAATTAATA